TCACTTAAGCCCAAGAGTTTGAGGTTGCTCTGAGCTGTAATGCCACAGCACTCTACTGAGGGAGACATAGTAAGAGTCTTTTTATTATTTTTTATCTTTTATTATTTTCATTTATTTATTTAAGTCTCACTTTGTCACCCTCATCAGAGTGCTATGCCGTCATAGCTCACCACAACCTCCACCTCTTGGACTTAGGCGATTCTCTTGCCTCAGCCTCCCGAGTAGCTACAGGCGCCCGCCACATCGCCCGGCTAATTTTTGTTGCAGTTTGGCCCGGGTCGGGTTCAAACCTGTGACCCTCAGTATATGGGGCCAGCGCCCTTACTCATTGAGCCACAGGTGCTGCCCGACATAGTGAGATTCTGTCTCAAAAAAATAGGGCTCAGAGCCCGTAGCACAGTAGTTATGGCACCCACCACACACACCAAGAGTGGCGGGTTCGAACCCAGCCCAGATCCCCTAAACAACAATAACAACTGCAACAAAAAATAGCTGGTTGTTGTGGCAAATGCCTATAATCCCAGTTACTTGGAAGGCTGAGACAAGAGAATCACTTAAGCCCAAGCATTAGAGGTTGCTGTGAGCTCTGGTGCCATATCACTCTACCTAGGGCCACATAGTGGGACTCTGGCCTCAAATAAATAAAAACACTTATTGAGTACTTATTATGTGCCAGTGACTTTTAAATGTATTGCATACATTAACTAATTCAATATTCAGAACTCTTATGAGATAGGTTACTATTATTTTCATCATTTTAAAACAGAGAGAACTTAAGTAAAGTTGCTTAAGTAAAGGTCTTTCAGACAGTGTTAGAGTTAGTGCTTGAACCCAAGCTCTTTAGCTAAAAAGGTCCATATTCTTAACATCTATATACTGATGGTTCCCAAACCAGGCACTTTTACCATCCAGAAAACATATGACAATATTCAAAGACATTTAGTTTGTCACGGTAGGGTTGGTGGACATTATTACTACCTAATAGGGAGAAGCTAGGATGCTGGTAAACATCCTACAATGCACAGAAGAGATCTCTACCCTCAACAACTTAGGTCTAAAATGTCAACAATGCCATATTGAAAAAGCCCGAAAACACAGAAAATAACCTGCAGCAGGACACACTGGCTACCCAGCTACTTGGGAGGCTAATGGGGAAGGACTGCTTAAGCCCAGTTATTCAAGTCCAGCCTGAGACAGAGCAACATCTGGTTTCTCAAAAAAATAAGAGGGTGGCACCCATAGCTCAGTGGGTAGGGCACTGGCCACATACACCAAGGCTGGCAGGTTCAAACCTGACGTAGACCAGCTAAAACAACAATGGCGACAAAAAAAAATAGAGCAGTGTTGTGGCAGGTACCTGTAGTCTCAGCTACTTGAGAGGCTGAGGCAAGAGATTCGCTGAGCCCCAGAATTAGAGGTTGCTGTTAGCTGTGACACCACAGTATTCTACTGAGGGTGACATAATAAGACTCTGTCTCAAAAAAAAAAAAAAAAGAATCAAATGATCTCTCATGTAATTTCCATAAAGAAACCAAGCCTTGCCTTTGTCATATAACCAAATAAAGAACCAAAACTAGTTTTATCCAGACTTGTGATCTTTCCAAAAAGTCAGAAATCTCCCTTTTCAATTAACAGACTATGAAGGGATGACTAATTCAAATGTAAGAGAGTTATCTTAGAGCTTACAGTTTACAACTAAGCTCCAAAAGTCTTAAACTTCCAGGTTCTCTTTCTTTTTAAATTTTTTTGGTTTTTTGAGACAGAGTCTCATTATGTCCCCCTCAGTAGACTGCCGTAGCATCATAGCTCACAGCAACCTCAAAACTCTTAGGCTTAAGAGAGTCTCTTGCCTCAGCCTCGTGAGTAGCCCGGACTATAGGCACCAGCCACAATGCCCAGCTTTTTTTTTTTTTTTTGTATTTATTGTTATTTAACAGATCCAGGTTGGAATCCACCACCCTTCGTGTATGTGGCCAGCGCCATAACCACTGTGCTACAGGCACCGAGTCAAGGTTCTCTTACAAGTAGCATTATTCTCTAAATCAAGTTCATCCAGCAAACAATGGCAATACTTATTATGGATACAAACACATACTATACTTTTCTAGTAAGCCAAAAGAACTTAAAACTAGAAAAATTCAGTTCCTTGGACTAAAAAGGACAAACCAGCATTTCAGAAGGTACCATATTTTGGTGTGCATAATGTACACTTTTTTGCCCAAACCTTTGAGAGAAATATAAAGATGCACATTATACATGGTAGTACTAATCTCTCTATATATAAATGTTCTTAATTCTTTTATTTATGCTCATTTGTTAAAAGTTTAACTCTATAAAGCAATAAAGATATCCATGTACAGGCTCGGCACCCACAGCACAGTGGCTACAGCACCAGCCACATGCACCAGGGGTGCAAACCCAGCCTGGGCCAGCTAAACAATGACAACTGCAACAAAAAAATAGCTGGACGTTGTGGCAGGCACCTGTAGTCCCAGCTACTTGAGAAGCTGAGGCAAGAGAATCGCTTAAGCCTAAGACTTGGAGGTTGCTGTGAGCTGTGATGCCACAGCACTCTACGGAGGACAACATGGTAAGACTCTGTTCCCCCCTCGCCCCGGAAAAAATCCATATGCAGAATACCCTGGAATAACATAAGTGCACCCCTTTCATGCTACTCTCTCCTTGGGCAGGCACTACAGCAGCAGGAGCCTCCAGCCTGCCTAGCAGATCACACCTCACACCACATACAGCTGCTGCTGGTGACAACCATTAGCAATTATCAGGAAAGTAGCCAGGCAGTGATGCCTACTTCTCTTGCGAGAGGTGCTAGTGGCAAGACACAGAACCAACCACTATGGAGAAGCTGGGAGTGAGCCAAGGCAGGTGAGAATGGTCTGGATAACCCGAGTACCCAACCACCCCCAATTGTCTCAGTCCCACATGCTCTCATTTCCTATTCCCACCCATGTATATTGGTGGGAATGTCACCACAGCCACTCCACTGAGAACCCTGGCAGGTTTATACCTGGAAAGCTGGTGTGAGGGGTCAGGGCTGTCCCTATCTGCTACAGGCTCCTGATGGTAGATTACCACCTTTTCTAGGCTGCCTCATCTCTTGCACAGGTGGCTGCATTCTGAGGCCCTAGGACAGTACGCTGAAGAGGAAGATCCCTGAACTGGGATATGGAACACTGGGTTCTGAGACCTGGTTCTATTAGTGCCCCACTGTTGTAACCTTGGGCCTCAGTCCCCATGAAGTATCTATCTGCAAGAGTAAATGGCAGTGAAGCACAAAAGCTTGCTGATACCTGAGCCCATAGATTGTAATTTTGAGCCTATCAGCTGGTATAATTTCCCAAATTTGCTAGGAGGAAGAACCATCTAGGACAGTTCTCAACCTGTGGGTTGCAACCCCTTTTTAACAATGAAAATACATTGCAGCATTAGGAAGGTTGAGAACCACTGATTTAGGATGCTTGTTAATAGAACAGATACCTAGGTCTTTCTCCTGAAGAGCTGATTTAATGCATTTGGGTTTGTTTTAAGATTCTAGTTGTACCCAGTCCCCCAGGTGATTTGTATGATTTGCAAGTTTGGAAAAAGCTGGTATAGTTCCTGAAGTTACTGAGGGCCTAAGGCAGGCATCCTCAAACTGCAGCCCGCCTAGGACATTTGTCCAGCCCAACGGGTGTTTTTGACACCGCTGCCTGTCCTGCTTAGCAGCCAACTCATCCCAGGGCCCGCAGTCCAGTCCTCCAACAGTCTGATGGACAGTGAACTGGCCCCCTGTTTAAAGTTTGAGAACCCCTGTCCTAAGGTGTAGATGGCTCAAGGAAGTCACTGTTAAACAGAAATGCAAATGCAGAGTTCTTCACTGAGGTATCATCAGAGAAGGATTCCTCCTCAGTGTGGTGTCCACGGGGGCCTCAGAATGGATCCAGCTCCCCAAGAGAAAAGGCAATCCAGAAGGGCAGAGATTTACTATCAGAAGCCTGGGGCAGACAGGGGCAGCCCTGGCCCCTCACACCAGCTTCCAGGAAATAAGCCTGCCAGAGTTCTCAGCAGGGTGGCTATGGCCATGTTCCCCCCACAGACATAAGTGGGAACAGGAAATGAGAAGATGCAGGGACCAGGTGGGTCTGGAAGGAACAACTAGAGGAAGTCGAGCGTTCAGATAATCCACACCCCTGTCCCTGCCACCTTGACTCACTCCCAGTTTCTCCGCAGCAGCTGGCTCTGCCCTCTTTTAAAAAATTAAAAAACAGGCTTGGTGTCTGTAGCTAACCAGCTAGGGTGCCAGCCATATACACCAGTGGTGGCGGGTTCAAATCCAGCCTGGGCCTGCCAAACAATGACAACTATAACCAAAAAATAGCCAAGCATTGCAGTGGGCGCCTGTAGTCCCAGCTACATGGGAGCCTGAGGGAAGAGAATCACTTAAGCCCAAGAGTTCTAGGTTGCTATAAGCTATGGTGCCACGGTACTCTACCCAGGGCAACATAGTGAGACTCTGTCTCAAGAAAAAAAAAAATTAAAAAATAGATTTTTTTCCTGAAAGTTTGGGCCAAAACTTTACAAAATATTCTCTAAGTGTTGGCCACCTTTTGTAAAGAAATGATTTTTTTTTTTTTTTTTAAGACAGAGCCTCAAGCTATCCCCCTGGGTAGAGTGCCATGGCATCACGCTCACAGCAACCTCCAACTCCTGGGCTCAAGCGAGTCTCCTGCCTCAGCCTCCCAAGTAGCTGGGACTACAGGCGCCCGTCACAACGCCTGGCCATTTTTTTATTTTTGGTTGCAGCCATCATTGTTGTTTGGCGGGCCCGGGCTGGGGATTCGAACCCGCCACCTTAGGTGTATGTGGCTGGCGCCTTAGTTGCTTGAGCCACAGGCGCTGAGCCAAAAAATGATTATTTTTTAAGTAAAAGTATACTTAGATATCATTTCCCATTTTCCCTACATATGGCAACTTCAGGGGGGTGACTTTGAGGACACCCTATAAATGATTTTTTAGCCTTGTTCTGTCGTAATTAAATATTAGAATAAATAACAATTTTTTAAAAATACCTTTGGTTTCCTCTACAGCAAGTTTATCACAAATCTGCTTTTCATAGGTACAAAGATGCTCCAAGGCTTCTCTATAAAGACCTGCTTCCCGAAGGACTTGATTCTGATACAAAAGTAGTTCACTATATTCATAATCCACCTTATCAGGGGATGTCTGTATATGGATATAAGGAATATTAACAGTAAGAATTTTCACATCAGACAATTGTTTACAACAGTTGAAAACATGTAAGAAGTCAAAGGATAACACCTTAATGATAAAACAAATTTTTAAAACAAATTCCTAAATATGTGTCTATGGAGCAACTAAGTAAATAACAACATTAACTTATAATGCCTTGAATAATAATCCATAAATCCTTACATATAATAAATTCAGAAGAAGGGAAAGCTCATATATAACAGTAGAATGCCACATAAATCTAGAAGGAATGACAGAGAATCACTATTCTGCAACTACCATAGTAATAAATGATTCACACAGAATCACAATCAATGAAGGCTAAAACCAGTAGTAATAGTTTGATGAACAAAGTATTATTCACAGTCTCCAGATGTGTATTAAACACAGAGAAAAAAATAAGTTTACCGTTGCAAATACTACCTTAACCAAATAATCAAATGGAACAAAGAGATGTCATGTGCCTCTTGACATAATGAACCAAGAAGGACCCACAGCACTTTCGTGATTTCCTGACAAAACTATATAAATAACAATGAAGAAACATCTGACAAATCCAAATTAAAGGACATTCTATAAAAACATAACCCTATAACCCTTCAAAAATATCTATGTTATGAATTCTGAAGAAAGTCTTAAAAACTGTTCCACATTAAAAGTGACTGAAGATAGCTGGGCGTTGTGGCAGGTGCCTATAGTCCCAGCTACTTGGGAGGCTGAGGTAAGAGAATCACTTGAGCCCAAGAGCTGGAGGTTGCTGTGAGCTATGATGCCAAAGCACTCTACAGAGGATGACAAAGTGAGGCTCTGTCTCAAAAAAGTAAAAAAAAAAATAAATAAAACTGACTGAAGAGAAATGATAGCTAAATACTAGGTATGCTTCTAAAGTATATACTAGAGTGGGGGAAAATGCTAAAAAGTATAAAACTAGGACAGCTAGTAAATTTTGCAAGTAGGCTAATTAGCTACTAATAACCTACCACTTTTAAATTTCCTAATTTTGATAATCTATAGATATAATACATGTACTATCTATAGAACTGACAACTATACAGTTATTTTGTAGAAAATATACAATGAAGCATTTAGAAGTAAACAATCATGATATCTTCAATTATACATGAATGTTTAAGGGAGCAAATTTAAATAGACACAGGGATTTTAAAGCCAATGTGTCAAACATTAACAATTAGTTAATACGAGTGAACTCCTCCGGGAGTTCTTTGTGTTGTTTTGCAACTTTTCAGTAAGTTTGAAATTATTTCAAAATTTAAAAAAATAGACTATGTACAATTCTTTCTTTTAGTTATACTTAGAATTAGACCTAGCAAAATGGTTTCTGGTTATTACCTGTTGTGTTTTCCTAAATTCTTCTAAAATCTTTGCTGCCATTTCATAATCTTCTAGTAAATGGTAAGCAATAGCATAACCTATCCATGATGCTCTCTGTGCAGGTCGAAGCTGAAGTAACTGATACCTCGTTTCCTTTAAAAGGAGAAAAAAAATACTTTTTCTTAGGCTTACAGTTATAAAGCAAATGATCCTTTAAAGATCCTATTAATTTACTCCACAACACTAAGCATTCTGGACCACAATGCAAGGAATGATAATCAAAAACAGTTTCAAAGGGTACATGTGAAATTTACTAAATGTAGAATATAAATGTCTTAATAACTAAGAAAATGCCATGAAGGCTATGTTAACCAGTTTGATGAAAATATTTCAAATTTAAAACATTTTATATATTCAAATTCCAAATTTTATATAAAACCAGCACATTGTACCCCATGATCTCAGTAATCTACACAGCTATGATTTAATAAAAACAAAAAATAAACAGTTTTAAATATCCATGTTTTATAGCTTTACAGAGACAAAGAAATATTTGCTAAGAAGCACAATGTATGGACATGGTGGCTCATGCTAATAATCCAAGCAACTTGGGAGGCTGAGACAGGAGGATCACCTGAGGTCCGGAGTTTGAGCAACAGAGTAAGACCCAACTCAAAAAAAAAAAAAAATTAAAAGCCTGAAAACAATTAGCTGGACATGATGGTGATCATCAGTAGTCCCAGCTACTTGGGAGGCTAAGGTAGGAGGACTGCTGGAGCACAATAGTTCAAGACTCAGTGAACTACAACTACACCATGGCACTCCAGCCTGGGCAACTGAGATTAGGTCCCAGGAAAGGGAAGGGGAGGGAAGAGGGAAAGGCAGGGGAGTGGGGGGAGGGGAGGAAAAAAGCACAGTGAAGCCTCTAAGATAATCTTATAATGTACTCATTAAAACCTTAAGACCAGATGTCCTTTTTTATTTCCTCTAAGAAAAGACAAAAGATGGAAAATATAGTATAAAGGAAAAAAAATTATTCGAGGATTTAAAAAAAACAGTGACCAATAATTGAGTGAAGATATATATAGGAAACAATTCAGCAGGGACTACCATTTAATAAAAAAAAAAAAAAAGTAATGGCTCGGTGCCCTTAGTACAGTGGTTACGGCACCAGCCACATACACTGAGGCTGGTGGGTTCGAACCCGGCCTGGGCCAGCTAAACAACGATGACAATCTCAACAAAAAATAGCTGGGTGTTGTGGCGGGTGCTTATAGTCCCAGCTACTTGGGAGGCTGAGGCAAAAGAAATGTTTAAGTCCAAGAATTTGAGGTTGCTGTGAGCTGTGACACCACAGTACTCTACCCAGGGCAACAAAGGGAGACCCTGTCTCCCAAAAAAGAAAGAAGAATAAGAAAAAAAGGAAGACTATCAAAGAGGAATATCCAAGACTGATTTAAAGATTAAAACTGAAGCTACAAAAATATTAGTCTCACTAGATATAAAACAAATTTGTTTTCCAGAAAAATGTGGGTAGTAAAGGTTACAATTGCATGTTAATACCAAAGGCATTCATTGTCTATCTGAGTACTAATACTAATTTTTACCAAATTAATTAAACCCTAACAGTAATCCAAATCTTCCTTACAAAAAAACAATTGATTTTAAAGGTCTGATTATTCCAATCGTAAACACAATCCACTATGGTAGGAGGAAAAAAAGCATTCGATTAAGTTACTTTGAAAATGAAATAGAAAATTTCTTCATCAGCAAGTATGCCAAGTTTTAAATAACAGCTTCCCCTCAGAATAAAACAATTCTCTATTTTACTTACCCTGTAACCCTCAAGATCTCGCATTTGAATCTGTAGTAAGGAAAGGTCCCTTAAGATTTGAAGATTGTCTTTATCCCATTTTAGTGCATTTCTGTAACACTTAATGGCTTCATCATACTTCTTGTCTGACCTCTGAAGAAGGCCATAAACATGCCAACCTAATGAATTTAGTTAAGGATACAACCTACAAGTCAAGAATTACTATTACAAATGATCTCTCAAGAAACTTGGAGAACCATATCCATTTATAAAATTATAAGCTTTAAGACAGTGGGTACAGGAAAATACACAGAAGGCAATTTAATACAACAGAAGAGCACAGCTTCTGGAGCAAGAAAAAAATTAGTGCTACCTTGCCTTATTAGTTCTATAACCTTGGACAAGTAAGTCTCATTTAAGTTTTCACATACATAAAATGTAAACAGAAATAGCAAATCATACTAATGACAACTAAATGGAATAACATGAAATGCTCACTGGATAACACAAAGTTAAATTAGTCAATAATGTAAACAGTTCTCTTTATTATTAAAAGGAAAAGGAAGAAAAGGGCCTTAAGGTAGCCTTTAGTACAGCACACAGTTCCTAAAATTCAATCACAAATAAAATAAAAACATCCATTCATTCAACAAATAAATATGAAAAATTCTTAATAATTAAGGTATAGCTGATTTGTTTAAAAGGCTGTCTCCTACATTCAAAGAACTTAAAGTCTAGTAAATGGGCATAGATAAGCAAGCAAAATTAGTGGGCTGTAAAAAGTATAGAAAGGCGGAAAATATCCCACTTCCTAAATACAAGACAGGTCCTTTTCACTTTAGATCTTGATTACTATAAATCATCCAATCCACCTAGCCTCACTCTCTCTTCTTTTCTTATCTCCTGCCAAATTAATCTTTCCAAGACACACATAATGAAAAAGAAAAAAAAATCTCCCTTTCCAGAAACTTACAAAGTCTCCCTCTCAAATCAGTCTCAAACTTCAATCTAACAATTTGTTAGGCCACAGATCTTCAAAGTCACTAAAAGAATGTCTATGATGGCGTATGTAACTTTATAATACATATGTAATATTACAACTTTATTTGATTTGTTTTCAAAATATTAATGACAAAATAAAGCTTGACAAAATCCTCTCAGCTGGCTGGAACATGGTTTTAAAAACCTATGAAACATCATCCATCAAAATGTGGCCTCCAATCCCTCTCATTTCCATCACTATTTCAAGACTTCATCTCTCTTAGTATATATCCTTATTAACTGCCTCTAATCTTTGCCTCTTAAAAATCCTATTTTCAAAGAATTTAGCAGTGTTAAAAAGTTAGAAGAAAGTATGAAGGCAGAGTGTGGTGGTTCACGCTTGTAATCCTAGCACTCTGGGAGCCCAAAGCAGATGAAACACCTGAGCTCTAGAATTCAAGTCCAACATGACGACCAAAGTGAGACCCCTAGGGCAGCGCCTGTGGCTCAAAGAAGTAGGGAGCTGGCCCCATATACCGGAGGTGGCAGGTTCAAACCCGGCCCCGGCCAAAGTGAGACCTCCATCTCTCTACTAAAAATAGAAAAACTAGCCAGGTACCTATAGTCCCAGCTACTTAGGAGGCTGAGACAAGAAAACTGCTTGACCCCAACCGTTTGAGGTTGCTGTGAGCTATGATGCCACAGCACTCAACCCCAGAGCAACTGAGTGAAGACAGTCTCCAAAAAAAAAAAAAATACATATATATATACACACAAACATCTGTGTGTGCGTCTGTATCCATCGAAAGGCACTCAATTAAATAAATCATAGCAATATATACAGAACACTACACAATTATTAAAAACAATGGCTCGGTGCCCGTGGCTTAAGTGGCTAAGGCGCCAGCCACATACACCTAAGGTGGTGGGTTCGAATCCAGCCAGGACCCGCCAAACAACAATGGCGGCTGCAACCAAAGAAATAGCCAGGCCTTGTGGCAGGCACCTGAGGTCCCAGCTACTTGGGAGGCTAAGGCAGGAGACTCACTTGAGCCCAGGATTTGGAGGTTGCTGTGAGCTATGATGCCATAGCACTCTACCCAGGGGGACAGCTTGAGGCTCTGTCTCAAAAAAAATAAAAAATAAATAAATAAAAAATTAAAAAAAAAAACAATGGAAAGACAGCTATGGCAGTCTTATCAATTAAGCTCTTGCTTAAACCTTTCTAAATCTTTGGTCACTCCTTAATTCACAGTTTTGCTTTACTGAGTTATTGACAATTCCTTGAAAAAGCCATTAACATTTTATGTCATACTCAAAAATGTTCTGTACGTGTTTCTAGGAAGCTATCTTTGTTCACTAGACTCTTAAGTTCCTTGAGAGCAAACTCCATATAAAATCTGTACTGTGTCAGGGGCCTGGTAAACATTTGAAATTTTGCTAAATGTTTCAGCTATTATAATTGTGCTAGCCCACAAAGTCGGCACAGAAATACTTGTTAAAGACTATTTAAAAAAGAAAAACCCACATTTTTTCTCTATCTTCCCTCATACATTTCTACTTGCTTCCACCCTCATACTTCCTCGAGTAAAATAAAATTTATCTATTATGTTACTTAGCTTTATCAGGGACTATGTTATATATTCCATCATTAAATCTTTATACCACCACAATGAGGTGGGTATGATTACTCCCATTTTACACATGAAAAAACTAAACCCTAAGATCACATAGTGATAAAGAAGCCAAGCTGTGTTTCGAACCTAAGTGAAGCACACTCCAAACCTCTATTCCAAAAGCCTATGCTCTCTATGCTCTTAACCAGTGCACTATAATGCCTAATATTCCTTATTATATATCTTTCTCTAAAGTTACAATTATGATAAAATCTGCATGCCTATCTTAGTCCATTTGGCTTAGACTAGGTAATCTATAAAT